CCGCAAACCGCACCGCGAAATTCTAAACCTCATTATGCGGTGCGGTTTGGTGCGGTGTGGGCGGTTTGTACGGTTTATGCGGTTTTTTGCACACCCCTAATATTAACAACTTTGATTTATTAATATCAGTCACGTAACTACCACTATTACTTCTAACTTATTAATATCAATAACGTATCTACAAATATTACTTGTAATTTTGACGTTTTATAAAAAATAAACATTACGAGTGCCAATTGTTTAAAAAATTAATTAGAGAGCGAAAAAACTACATCGACTTTTTAAGTGCTAGAAGAAAAAAATCTATTCAAGGGACTAAAACAGTCATAGGATAAACTTAAAGGTCTTTTGTGTAAATTTTCTTTCCTTCCACCTATTTTCTTAAGTGCTTGTAGAAGGGTGGTGTTTAGTAAACAGCAAAAAGAGTAATAAAATCGTAATTTCTCACTTCCTCCGTCTATTTCGTCCCAAAATAATTCAGCAGCTTTCTCTCTTTCTCTCTCTCACATGTTCATTCGGTGATTATCTTTAGAAAATATAAAAATTCCCAGATACATTCATCCGGACATATATCCGATATCCAAATATTTATATACTTTATACATACTATACTTCAAAGATTACACACCCAAATATAGTAATTTTTTATGCGATTTTAGCGATCTGTGCAAAGTCTACGTGACTTTCTTGGTGGGTTTGGTGTTTACTTCAATTATTGATCATACCCATCTCCCGAGATCAAATTTCACATCATAAAAGATCGATCTTTGAGATAAAGAGTGTGTTTCAAGAACTCAGTAACTAATGCTTCAAGATATGGAATGAAGTTTTCTCGAGGGTTTTTCTCTGTGGATTGGTGTAATTGCAGATTCAAAAGCTGTTGTTCTTCCTCCTTTTTGGGTCTTTTGAAGAAACAGAAGAGTTTGAGATAGTAAAGGTGAGTCCTTTTTAGTAAATTCCTTGTTTTTAGGTCCTTTTAGTTGCACTTTCTTTCCCATAACTGCAGTCTTTCTTTATAGTTCTGAAAATTACTCTTGGGATTCATATTTACACTGATGGGTTCAGCTTTTTATCAGATTTTGTGTTTTGTAACTTGTAAGCATTTTCTTGGTTAATTGCGTAGTTTAAGACCAATTTCATTGGTGTCTCAAAAGTCAAAAAGCAATCATTTAGCTTTGCATATGAAATGGTTTTTGGGTTTTTCTTAGTCGCTAAGGATTGGCCATATTCTGAAAAAAAAAAAAAACAATCTGATCACCCTGTTATTGGGTGTTTGATTTTGTTCCTTTTCTGCATAGGGTTTGCCATCTTTGATAAATTATAGCTTTATTTTTGTGTATTACAATGCTATGAAAGAGAGTGTTAGTCTTTAATGCATATTAATTAGTGTTTATATTCAAGGAAGAAACTTGCCTTGGGATTACTCTTTTTGCCACCGAATATTAATTAGTCTTGTACTCCGTGTGGCAACGTATTGAAGTAATGTCAATTTTTTCCACAATAAGAAGTCTAAAAATATAAATATATTTCTCATTTTTATTCTCTCAGCAACTTTAAAAAGTAGTCGAGTCTCCCATGCAGCGTGCACACAACACAGGACATGGACATGTTTGACAACTTTATAGGGCTATTTTTATGATGAGCCACATATTTTGCAGTGATTTCAATACAAACCAACTCAAATGCATAATAACATTTTTTGTCCTTTTTCGCTATGTATATTAATTACTCGTACTGTGTTTGACATGTTTTGAACTGAGACCATAATCGAAGGGTTGTGATTTTTAGTCCACCTAAAAAGATGGATAGAAAAAACAGATATAGAAAACAAAGGTCACTTGTTGTCGAAATTGTTGTCTCATGCAAACAACGTGAATGCCTTTCATTATCATTAAAAATAACCTCAAAAGATTGTCATGGATGCGTTCCTCTCTCATGTATATTGGACACATTGGAAAAGCTTAGTAGCTAGAGGTGAACATTTGGACCGGAATGGACCAGTTTTATAGAAATTGGTGAACCTTAGACCGGACCTGTTCAAGCTTACCATGTCCAGGTTCAAGGTCCGGTTCCTGGTTTTTGGACGTAAAAGTGAGCATTTGGACAGGACTGCACTGCTCTTAGACTGGACTTGTGTAGAAATTGATAGACCATGGACTGACCTGGTAAGGGTTAGTTCAAATGCTTGACAACAAACCGAGAAGCAAATTTAGTCTTTTTGCACATATTTAATAAGCTATGCAAAAGTCAAAAAAACTATTATGGTAGTTTTTCACTTCAAATTTTGTTAACATTGCTTGTAAAGGGTCGCATAACTTTGATGGAAACTCACATAACTTATTTACACTTTGTAACGGATTTGAAAGAATCAAGAACCAAAATCATAGACATTCTTGTGATCTTACACTGTTTATCTCAATTCTCACAGGTTTTGACCTTTTATTCACAATCAAATCAAGTCAATGGGGAACTATATGTGACAAGAATGGATCCACAAGCATTCATACGTTTATCAATTGGTTCCCTCGGATTACGATACCCGGAAACAAATCCAAAATCCCCCAAATCCCAAATACACACCTTCTCTTCCCCATGCACCTGTGAAATCCGCCTTCGAGGATTTCCCGCTCAAATCGCATCAATCCCACTCATATCATCACCTGAATCCACCCCAGATTCACACAACATTGCCTCAAGTTTCTACCTTGAAAAATCGGATTTAAAAGCATTACTCACACCCGGGTGTTTTTATAATCCCCAAGCATGTCTTGAAATTGTTGTGTTCACAGGTCGAAAAGGGTCGCATTGTGGAGTTGGAGTGAAGAGACAACAAGTTGGAACGTTTAAATTGGATGTGGGTCCCGAATGGGGTGAAGGGAAACCAGTGATTCTTTTCAATGGGTGGATTGGAATCGGGAAGATGAAACAGGAAACCAAGAAATTTGTAGCGGAGCTTCATCTGAGAGTGAAATTGGATCCTGACCCGAGATATGTTTTTCAGTTTGAAGATGAAACGAAATTGAGTCCTCAGATTGTTCAGATTCAAGGAAACATCAAGCAGCCGATTTTCAGTTGCAAATTTAGTCAAGACAGGTAATGTCGATAGCAATTAATGGATTGGATGATTTGTAATGCTCGTTTTTTGAAACAATTTCTGAGCTTTTGTTATGGATTACACAGGGTGCAGCAGGTAGATCCGTTGAACAACTACTGGTCAAGTTCCGGCGAAGCTTCCGATCAAGAAATCGAGAGAAGAGAAAGAAAAGGGTGGAAAGTGAAAATACATGATTTATCAGGTTCAGCGGTGGCGGCGGCGTTCATGACGACGCCGTTTGTTCCTTCAACAGGTTGTGACTGGGTTGCCCGGTCAAACCCAGGATCTTGGTTAATCGTCCGACCTGACGCTTTTCGGCCGGAAAACTGGCTTCCATGGGGTAAACTCGAGGCGTGGCGTGAACGCGGCGGCGTTAGAGACTCCATCTTCATCCGCTTCCACCTTTTATCCGATGGACAAGATGGAGGCGAGCTGCTCATGTCGGAGATACTAATAAACGCCGAACGTGGTGGCGAGTTCTTCATAGATACCGACCGGCAAGCTACCTCTAACTCCAATATACCGAGTCCGCAGAGCAGTGGCGACTTCGCCGGATTAAGTCCGGCGGTCGGCGGATTTGTTATGAGTTGCAGAGTTCAAGGAGAAGGCAAAAGAGGGAAACCAATGGTGCAGCTGGCGATGAGACACGTAACTTGTGTGGAGGATGCAGCGATCTTTATGGCGCTGGCGGTTGCGGTTGATCTGAGTATCGAGGCTTGCCGGCCGTTTAGAAGAAGGGTGAGGAGGGGAAACCGCCATTCTTGGTGAAGCTTTTCTGTCAGAGAACTTATAATTGTGTTTCGGTGGGACTTTGAAGGAAAGTTTACTGCTGCTTTCCTGTGTTTTAGTGTAATGACTGACGTATTTGTACAGATTTGATATTTCGCTTGTTCCTTTGCATGGTTTTTTCTGCTTAATGTCGGATAAATGGCAGGGGTTAGAAAAGTATTTGACCAAAATTTAGGGGACCAAATAGAAAATACTTTCACAATGTTGTAATATAACCTAAAACAAAGTAAAATGGAGTCCCGGAAAGAAATCTAAAAAGTAAAAGGGTAATATTGTTCTTATTTTTTATATATTTAGTTTTTATTTTTGTAAAATAAACTATTTAACATGTTTTTTAAATATTCAGTATTTATGATTGGCTATGGGTAATTATTAGTTATTCTAGGTTAAATTTTCAGTTTTTACATATTTAATTATTATTTTTTTTATTAGGAAATAAGACATTGTTTTTATACACGTTTAATCATTATGACCGATTTTTTTAGGTTTTACTTACGTGACATCCTATGTTGGACAATCATTAATAATGATTAATGTGTTTTTATATGTGGCTCGTCCCCAACTTATATCAGTAATCTAATTCACGAATCAGTCAAATAATATTCGTGTCTCATTTTTCTCCAAGAAGAAGATATCATTGATCTTCAGTTTCATCTATCTTCAAAGTAGACAACGAGATTCTTTATGATTACTTTCTTCCAACTCGAATTTGCACTTTCAAGACAAAGTAACACCTTAAAAAAGTTTAGAGTCCTCCCTAATTCTTTTGTATGTCGATTTTGACTATTTTTCAGTAAATGAGTATTCTATTCTTTTCAAATTGACACAAAATTTTGAAGATGAGCTTGCATCTGTTAAAGAGGAGGTTTCCTATCTCAATTACCTTGAACTGTAGAATACTAAAACCCTAGAATGATTAGGGTTCTGTCGTGGGAACTAAGGAGACACGTCGCACCTTTCTATTAATTTATTAATCATTATAAATTAACAAACTGGATGCCCAATAAACTCTCATGTCAATAATTACTTAAATATGCTATTTTATGTAACCCAAAAAGAGTTTGTTATTAATAGTAATATTACTAATTGTTGTGAATGTGAAACTATTTCCAACACTTGAAATAATTATGGTTGATGTATTTTCTTCACCTGATGTAATGTAGTTAGTATTGGTATTGAATGAAGTTTGTATTGGTATTAAATATAGTTGACATTGTACTATAATGGTTACTAATATCAAAAGTATAATGTTATTACCAAATCCAAGACAAGTAACACATGATTTCATTGCTCAAATGAGCCATATATGATAACACACCATTACAGATTGTCTCACGTAGGATGTCACGCGAGCAAAACCTGAAGAAGCCTATCATAAGGACTGAATGTGTACAAAAACAATAATGACTTATTTTGTAACAAAAACATTAAGGACTAAATGTGTACAAAATGAGATCTTAACCTAGAGTAGTCGGTAATAAGAACTGAATGTGTACAAAAACAACAAGTTCAAAGGCTTATTTTATACAAAAAACAAACAATAAGGACTAAATGTTTACAAAATGAAAACTATATTACCTTTTTAGGTCTTTTTTCCATAGAACAATCATAACATTTGTCACTTAATTTAGAGAATTTGGGATATCAACCTTCATCAAGTTGTATTTAAAGAACTAATACAAGTAATTGGAGTAACATAAAACTAATACAAGTAATTGGAGTATCATGTATTATGCCCAAGATTTGGTCTTTAATTATAATGCTAATATTATAATATGTCTATGTGATTCTATTATAATCCAAAGAAAGATAAGTAAATCATCACTTTGTTTTATATGTTTTCTTCATGAAATTTAGTGAATGCACATCGGAAATTGTTGGTATACATCTCCATTCACTACTGAAATGAACTTCACAAAAGCCAACTCAAAATCCTCTAAAAATCTCATTTTACAATCAGATTTCATGCTTCTGAAATCCTTGTTAGATGCTTGAACGAATCTGGTTCCAAACAGTTTTGTGTTAAAAATCTGATTATACATTTGATATGTTTATGTTGCTTTCTTAAAAAGTGTATTCTTATTATATTTAATGTTTTAAATTAATTTATAAACAAACCATTTAACTAATATTAATCTTTTAAGAAACCATTTGTTATTTTTTTTACGTCTAATAAAAACATATTTAAAATTCTTATACACATGGAAATTAAGTAATATCAATATAATGAATCTACTTAAAGGTCAATATACATAACAACAACTTTTTTTCAATCATAAACATATAATATCAATCTATTAATAGTTTTACACACATAATAAGAACATGCTATAAAATGTATACACATAATATGAATGTAAGTATGTATACTAAAAGAAAAAATGGCATATGTGACTAAAACATTAGAGACTGATTAGTCAATGTTGGATACCATGTATCTATGACCGACGAACTATTCTCAAATACAATTTTGGTATGATTTTAATTTGTGAATTATTAGAGACTGATCAAACATATGCAAGACTACAATTCAATTCCTAATCCATTTGCGCCAGTTTATGTTGGGTGGGAAACACATTATTGACTGAATTTCAATCTAGATTAGTCTAACGCCAATTTTGACTGTGGAGGGAAAGTTATGTATTGTGACATCCCCAAATTTCTCAGCCATAAAAGACCGATTCATTTATGCTTTTGAAATAAAATCAGAGTAATCATTTAAAACATGTTGCGTAATTTGTCCCCAAAACAAAACATGATAAAAATATTTATCAAAACATTTCTTAAAGAAATATGTATCTTCATTATATATCAAAATCTCGGGATGTCATGTTCTGATACAGACCAAAAGCATAAACAGTACATCATAAGCCTTACAACGGTTATTTATAACTAGTGGCCTATGATCCAAAAATCCATCTTCATCATCCAAACTATGTTCAAGGTCCACTACCTGTAATATAAAAAGCTGAGTGGGTCAGGCTTCGGAGCCTGGTGAGCATATAGGGTTTTCAACCCACAAATAATAAATTTATTAATTTCATCAACCACAATAAATTTATTTATTATGTTTAAACATCAAACAATCAGCCTAATTTCCCACCTCCATTATCTTCTTTACTCTTAAGGACCCACCCTAAGAAATCATCTATTCCTCGTTCATTCATTCCTAAGGATTAACCTAAGAAATAAGCACGAAGTCAACCTTTGCCTATGGCGCAGCTGTCAATGTTATTTATTAGGCGCAACTGCCAACAACATCATTTATTCTCTAATTGGCACAGCTGCCAATGTTGTTTATTAGGCGCAGCTGCCAACAACATCATTTATTATTTAATTGGTTATTTATTAGGCGCAGCTGCCAACAATATCATTTATTCTCTAATTGGCACAACTGTCAATGTTGTTTATTAGGCGCACCTGCCAACAACATCATTTATTCTCTAATTGGTTATTTATTAGGCGCAGCTGCCAACAACAACATTTATTCTCTAATTGGCACAGCTTCCATTGTTGTTTATTAGGCGCAACTGCCAATGTTATTTATTAGGCGCAACTGCCAATAACATCAATATCATCTTTCATCCCTCATTCTTTATCTACCCACGTTCTACCCAACATATTCGTAGATATAAAATACATATACAGTTTAGAATCTGTATAAAACAATCTTTCATCTACCCATGTTTACCCAACATATTTGTAGATATAAAAATACATATACAGTTTAAATCTGTATAAAACAATCTTTCATCTACTCATGTTTTACCCAACATATTTGTAGATATAAAATATATATACATTTTAAAACCTGTATAGAATATTCATTCATCATCCATCTCAAATAAACAAACAACATATATACACATAGCACATATTTTATATAAAATACTTCATATAAATGTGTAAGATGAAAGTGACTATACACTCACTTGATAAGACGACGATTAGACAACACTTCATCCCTTAAAACAATATTCTTCGATGAAACCGGGATGTTTTCTAAAAACCGGGCTTCACGCGGGCAGAGTTTCGGCTCGAAAAACTCTTTTTCTCGGGAACTTTGGGCTTTCTTCGGGTGCTAGGGGCGTTCTCAAGGCTTCGGGGTGTTTTAAGATGGATAGAGAGGGTATAGAGAGTGAAAGAGAGTGGGAATTAGCAACCATTCCCGGATACCCTCGATTTCTATTTATAGGGTGATAATTCGACATTCACGTCGTGAACCGTAAGTGTTCA